AAACAAACAGTGCCTGTGTGGTTATTTCTTTAAAACTCTACAACTTTTATTAATGTGCAACTCTTAATGTGAACGTCCAAAATAAAAAGGAAAACCTTTTTACTGGTGAAGCCTGAAAGATTGGTATTAAACAACAAGCAGTGCTAACATACTAGATAAACGCCAACATTTTTGGCTATTAGCCAACCATTGGACCAACATGTTTTTGCACCGTGAACAAGCGAAGAACATGACCAACAGCCAATCAGACCAGGGGTTTATACCTAAATCTCTGGCATACTGACAACCAACGCTCACTATCGACATCACGATCACTGTTTTGTTGTGACTGACCTTTAGAGGTGACAGAGTTGCTTGTGATGTAAACCAAGTGGCAACCAGCCAAGAACAGTGATACTGTGATAGCTACATTTGGAGGTGGCCATTCTTCAGCAGTCAAAATAAATAAAACAAAATCTGAATCACACGTAACCAGTTGCTGGATTTGAGTTTGGCATTTTGGTTTTTATCAATATACAAATACGCACATCAAAACCAAAGGTTACTGACTTGTTTTAGGTTTAGCTTTCAGCATCAACAGAAGTTGAAAATGACAAAAACCCCCAAAACAATTATCTGATATTTTCACACCAGTTAGATTCTGCTGATATCTGCAGATATTTGACACTCAGATTTAATTTGCTTAATGTTGCTGGTAGAGACAAGAGAACTGTAGCAGCCTTTTTTAACTATGAAACTGTTTTCCAGCAGTGGTGTTGAGGCACTTTCGGGAGCTGTGAGCTTGTGACTGCAGTGGCTGAGGATTTTGGAAGTTCAAAGAAAGGCTTACTGACTCCTGGAGGATTAGATGGATTTACTCCCCAACACACTGAAACAGAGGTAAGAAACCCAGGAGAGTGTTTGTATGTCTATGAATAAATGCATTTTACTGAATGAATGAGATGATATTTCTCTTAAATCAGAATTATTTTTAAGACTTATTACAGACTCACATTTTGAGCCTTTCCACACCTCCATGAGTTGCACCAGAACCCATGAAACCCTTTCTACATCCCAAATAAATTATTTTTGCTAACTCCCAATTTTCTGTAGCGAACACTCAACTTTGTTTCCAGAGCTCTTTGTGAGGCTGGAAATTCATCCCAAATCTAACAAATTAAATTCCACTCTGGTATAAATGAATTAATCACATTAAACATTTCTAGCTGAGTACTCCCAAACTTTTCTCACAGAGAATCCATGAATGCCAAATGTTCCTCTGACTCCCTCTGATTCTGCCTTACAGCTCTATTGGTTGTTGCTTTGCTGTGTCAACTTTCTTCCAGGAAGGAGGGGACATCGGTGCTGACGTTGTTGAGATGTTCTCCGGCCTCTTGGATGTTTTTCTCCAGGAAATTCTGACAGGACAAGCTGTGAGCTGCAAAGGC